ACACAAGCCTGTCATTTTGGTTCCGCCTCCTATTGTACTTGGGTTATAGATTCCCAAACTGAACAAGTTAAAACAGGAGCACAAGTGGCCCCTTAATCCAGGAAGGATTAATTTTATTCATAAAAGATTCAATAACTTTAATCCCTCATTATTGGGGATTAGAAACCAGACCTTCCCTGCATGCTATCACACAGAGCTGAGGCAGGGTCCCGTGCAGCTCTGGAACCAAGGCCGGCATGTGGGGCTTGAAACACAGCAGCATGTGTCGTGTGGGAACAGAACATGAAAAAAATAGGATATCTCCATTAATATTATTATCTCCTAGAACTGGAAGGGACCTTGAAAGGTCATAGAGTCCAGCCCCCTGCCTTCACTAGCAGGACCAAGTACTGATTTTGCTCCAGCTCCCTAAGTGGCCCCCTCAAGGATTGAACTCACAACGGACACATGTGTAAGAGCCAAGCCAGACTGAGCAGAGCACTGGAAAATACATGGTTGGGGGCAAACCTGCAGTGATGGAGGAGGCTGGCACCTCCAGAGGATTTTCCCCTCTCTGGTTTCAAGGGGTTAAATCCTGGCCCCACTGCAGTCAATGGGAGTTCTGCCATTGACTTCAATGGAGCCAGGATTTCACCCTATGATTCTATCATACCTAACCACTGCCACCGTACACACAGAACTAATGGCCCAGCAAGGCTCAAACAAGGGAAATTATTAACTGCTCCTGCAGTTATTGACAGGGGCCTACTGACGGGGGCAGAGTCAGTGGGATCAGCAGCTGCTCTGTGGTTTTGCACTGGCAGCAGCCCAAGAGCGCAGACTGGTGGTGTTAGCTCCTGAATTAGAACTGGCTTTCGGAGGACTGCTGCCCGGTCAGCTTGAAGTCACCCCAGCACACAGCTTCTGAATGATCTGTAGCTCCCAATGCTCTGCTGTCCAAGGTGAGTAGAACCGATCCTATGCTGGACCCTTGGCACCTGAGTGGTTTCCTCAGCACCTACTCTAGAACTGACAGCTGGAGACAGAGGAGAGGGGACGCAGGAGTCCCTTTGTGATAATGGAGGAGATTTACTTCTGGCATTCACACTCCATAGGGCCAATTGCTGTACCGTGGGGCTCCCTGCATACGTGGCCACGTGGCCCCCACCAGCCCTGTTCACACAGGCTGCCCCAGAAAGCCGTTTTTCTGCTGCCTGCATTTCCCAAGTGCCCTCTATGATCAGAAGTTCTTTTGCCAGTGCAGTTCCCATGGTTACCCTCTGCCTTTAACATCTCCATGTTTCAAAGTGTTTGTGGGCAGAATCAAGTGGCGTTACCCGTAAGTGGCCTACAGTACCTTCTTGATCACAAACTCCAGCTCCTGGGCCTGATATGCAGGGTTCACAGACACCTAGAATGGGGAAGAGACAGGAGAATTAATCAAGGCTCTGAAAAACCCTCAAAGACCCCCATCTTCTAACTATTTACTCGAAGAGAAAGGTGCTTTGGAGGAAAAAAAAAAAACTCAGTGAAAACACACTTGCAGCTCCTTCCTTGTATAGGACAACCAGGATTAGGATAACAACCCAAATTTCATGTTAACCCGGGAAACCCATTTATTCCCATTTTTACATATAGGGCCTGGAAGTAAAATGACTTGCACAAGGTCAAATGACAAGTCAATAGCAAAACTGGAAATAAAATCCAGGCCCCCTGATTCCTAGCCCGTGCTCAGCCCACTACACCATAGTAATTCACATTTCTAGGGACAATCAGAATCCTTTCTGGGTAACATGAAGAGTGAAAACTTCACTATCGCACATAGCACACCATAGAAGAGTTTTGGCCACCAACGCTGAGCTGAGCCACCAAATTTAGACTTTTGGTAGCCCACTAAGCTAAACCCATCTATTTCCCCTTTCTAACTTTATATCTGTTGAGTGACACCACAGCGGGTGATGCTGTACAAAACTTCCAGGAAGACACACTGCAGGCCTTGCCCCAAGGACCTTATGATGTAAACAAGACAAAGCCCTAATGGTACTATCAGGTGATGGCTGAATCTCAAGGGAGCAGACAGCTTAGTATATATATTTTTAAATGGTCACTTTCTGCAAAGGATTTTCATCCAGAGGCACCATGGAAAGTATTAAGGAGGACTTTAAGGGTTGGTTCTTTGGGGGCACAATATATAAAAATATGTAGCCCCCCTATACATTCCCTCATGCCATCAATAGTTGTAAATTATGTCCCAGGGAAGGCTGGTCTCCCACTGCCCTCTCATCAGCTTGGCGTTTTGCTCTCTGGGTAACGGAGGGTCAGACTAATGATGACTGCACGGACCTTGCATGACATCTGCTCCCACTCTTCACTTCAGTTCCCTTACCCAGCACATTATTCAACTTCTTCAAGATCTCCAGGCTTCCCCTTTGTCTCCTCCTCGCCCTAAAAAACCCAGGCGCCCAGACAGACAAGTCTCCTTACCAGGATGATTCCTGCCTGGGCTGTTGCAAATTGCATTAGAACCCACTCATACTTGTTGGGGCCCCACATGCCCAGCCGGTCTCCCTTCTTCAGGCCAATAGCCAGAAGTCCAGCTGCTGCCTGGTCCACCTGCAAAACACATATGACGCCAGATAGGGAGACAGGTCACCTCGCAGGGCACATCAAGGCAATTCAGTCTCTCACGTGCTAACTTGAAGGCAGCTGAGCTTCATTTTAGCCCCCAGTTAAGGATACGGAAATCAAGCGTTATGCAGCACTACTGCACAGCCCGACAGCTTATTGCTTGGCGCTGTTCGTTCTATAAACAGCAGTGCCTAGCGGACTTACAAAGAACAGATCCCCCCCACTTATCCAGTGACTGATGGCAGGAGAGGCGCAAACTCAGACCGTGCGTACAAAGGCAGCTGGGATTCTGGTATATCAGGCATGTATAGGCAACGTCATTCCTGTGCAGTCAAGGCCTATGCACCCTTTAACTCCTACATAGGCCCTCAAAATAGGACTTATATGGTGCTGCTGGATCCATGTACAGGGTGAATTTTAATCATACGGGCCTTATTGCTTACTTCTCAAATCATTTGGATGAAGAACGCAATTTAATGAGAAGTCTGAGCCGTCTCATTTTTGAACCCTATCCACATGAGTCAAAACCTAGGCATTATATTAAGATCCTCTTTTATCTTGCATAATGGCAAATGCATTTCAGGTGGGGTTGGACATACACAGTCCAACGTCCTCAGTAACTTTTCATTAACTTTCTGACATTCTCTCCTTCTAGTGTTTCCAGATTAACTAGATTTCAGTCCATATAACTGCTTATAAAATCTCTTTGTAGGTTTAAGAAATGAGTATTTTCCAGGCAAGTCAGAAAATATTTTAAAAATTAGCGAGTTCTGCAAATAGAGTTTATTCTTGTAAATTAACAAAACTCTAGCAAATCTACAAAAAGCAATACGTGAACACCTTAGATTATCAAGGCCATCCATCACAGCTAGGATCATAGGGCAAATCTAGTGGAAATTCCCTTTCCCTCCCATTTACAGATGGAATATTGTATGCAAATTCAGAATGCCAATTCATACTTATTATTATAAACAGGGCCAAGTCCTGCAGTCTTTACTCAGGCAAAACTCTGACTGATTTTAATGAGAGTTTTACTTGCGGAATGA